GTGTTGCGTGACATCCCAAAAAACGGCTGCAGAAGAGACTAGCTCCAGAGTTGACAACAACGTTAAATGCGTTCTGTCACTTTCCTTCCCTTTTCAAAAAAGGCACAAGTATGATATTTGTGACATTACAATCATGTGTGATCCTTTAAAGATAAATATAATTTCTTCAGACATATTTGACAAGCTTGCAAGTTGGCAAGAGTAAATTATCTTGCCAAAGAATACTTTCTGGACGTACCAGCCACTTTGATGACTTCATTAGCAAGTTTACTTTGCACATCATTGTAGGTTTCTTTAAATGCTTGGAACTGCTCATTGAGTTGCCGTAAGGTGGAATTGTTGAATCTGATGCCATCCTTCCTTGTGTCTATTGTGGTGTAGCGCTTGCTGTTTCGCAATGCTTTTTCCTCCTGTAAAACACAAAGCCAGAGCAAATAAATTGAAAAACCCAGCTATTTTAACTGTAAGAGCAAACATCCAATGTTCTAGGATCAGGCCTTTGTATAAGTTTTAGTATATACCAAGCCCTCTTCCAAACTAGACAAATTCTCAAAGCTGTTCTATAATGGTCTCCAATGGGTACCAGGATGATAAAACAACATAACGAAGAAGGGCATAGGATAATCCTGCTTGTGTGTTGGAGCAGTGAAAGAAATGTGGGGTGGCAAAACAGGTTCTGAAGAATCTACCAGGAGGAGCTGAAGGAGACCAAACCCTGGAAGCCGTACATCAGTGCTTTTTGAACTGCAAGAGATGCCTTACATATAGCAAAAAGGGCAGTCCAACACTGTAAGCTAAGGGAGTTAACAGAAGAAGATGGTGCATGTAGGTGCATTCTGAGCTTGAAAAGAAGACACTCGCACACAGGGCACGACAAGAAGGGGCTACGATAAACTGAAGAAAGACAAAGACAAAATGGTGCAGGCCAGTCATTTCTAAGATATAAGACATGCCCAATGATGCATCTAATGCTGCATGGATGCTGCAAAGAAGACAGATGTGAGTGGAGCCAGTGGATTGCTGAGGTAGGAGGAGGTTAGAGGTAGACGTATCATCATTGAAATTTATAAACTCACTTTTTTTGTTATCCTAAAGAAATAACCAAACTGGTTATTAGACTCCAATTTTATTGACTTTCCTGCTTCAAGACCTAGGTCTCTGGCAGCCTGTATACAAAAGAACAATTAAAACAGCAAAATGTGAATAAAGCTAAATAAAACAATAATTATGCCATGCTTTACTCAATGAATGCAAGAAAACATTCTTATGATACTGCTTATACTAGCCTTATTCAGTTCCACTGGTATCTGCTCTAAAATCTCGTCCATCTTTTCTCTGCATTCTACAGAAGAGTCAGACAAGTTCACAGTTACTCTTTCTCGAACCAAAAAAACTGGTGAAATTTTGGTTATTCTTTAAGATATGGAACTTCATTTACAGACCAATTACATGGACGCACTTGCAAATCCACTTCAATAACTTCAAGATTTTGATATTTCACAACACCATTCACAAGGTGTGTAAGAATGGAGTCAGAGACAAAATGTGGTTGATTTGGTTTTAAAGATAACTGTTAATTCACCAGCAATATCACAGGGGAAATCGCACTTGCCAGCAATAATGTTTTTTCTGTTGAACCCACCAAGTTCCTTGAAAATTTCACCTCAAATGCCCCAATTTACGTTTCATAATTTGCGGGTTTTGAAAATTTGTCGACACTCTGAAAGTCACCTTTGCATTGCATTAAGACTTGGCACTCAACCAGTGAGCACATGAGAATTCTCTCTGTTATTGCAAAAACAGCTTGTAAACAATCTGGACATTCATTGCATGTATCAGTAGGGGATGATAATGCTGTTCTATCAATCACATAAAAGAAGATCCTATTTCCAATGACAGTTACAACCAGGTTGTGGAATACACTTTCCTTATAAGAGCCAGAATTAAAACCATACCTTGCAGTCCTTCGTCAAAGGAAGCCTTGATCAAATATTCGTGATTTTCTACTTGATCCAGGTCTACTGTGGTCTCCACCAATTCAGTAAACTTTTGAAAATCCTGTACAAGATCCTGTAAAATAGTGAAATTAATCCTTTCAGCACCAAAGTATTACAAATCATAATGCTGAAAACTGATTTCAGCTATAGATGTATTTTACTGTCTGGTTATATTTGCATAAAAGTTGGCCAATTGCACAGCTTAGGAAATATCAACACTAATCACCTGTAAGGGTGTTGTGAAGCATTCGTTTATAAGTTCATTGTGGTTTCCTTGATAGCTTGTGAGAATGTCTGTGAAAGAGGGAAGTCTATGGAGGGCCTGGTACACCCTTACACAGTCCTGTTCAAAAAAAATTTACAAGAATTAAGGTACTGTTTTTGCCTTTTTGAGCATTTTATAGCACTTTTGTAGTTTATTTTTAGCAACATAAAGACTACTTTTCTCATGACATTAAACCCCACTATTAGACAAGCAATGCCACCCCAACACACACAGCAAAATGTTACAGTTACATGTTGTAATATTGTAAATGACCTGCAAACTTGCTTTCTGCCTCTGGAATTTTTTGGCCAATCTAGAAAAATCAGGGACTTTACGTAGTTCTTCCTGTAGAAAAATTACATAGCAGCAAAATCATTTATTTAGTAATTTTATCAAGTGACCTCTGTATTAAGATTCTGTGTAGACTACCAGATGTTAAATGAGGCAAATAATGATTCTTTATGATTGTCATCAGTATTACTGCTATGTTTTATTACATCTGTTACAATGAATGATTTGCATGTACCCATTACTGGTTACAAAGTAACTAACAGCATGCTTTACAAGTAATAAACTGAGCCCACAGACAACTGATGCTACTAATATTAATAGATGAATGTCACCAGTCTTGTAGTTTAGAAGTTGCATTGGGTGTGTTGGCCGTTTACACTGTCTAGAAGTTTGTTAGATGGAGCTTGGGACATGCCGTTGACAAACAACTTGAAAATTCACGCATAGTTTATGTTTTAGATGAGTCGTAAGAAGCCGGCATCTCCTTGACTTTTTAAATTATACGATATAATTATTGAACTTTTGGTAGTCTTTGGAAAACCTGATTTAACTAGCAGTTTCATTACAGTAGTGCCACATGGTTTTTGAATTCATATATTAAAATAACCCTCTAAAACAGCATACCTGGATTGTTTGTCTCAATTCTGTGTCGTCAAAGAACACTTCAACTATATCAAGTCTTTCCTCTGTAAACAAAACAAGTTTAGACAAAATATCTACAAGGCTAAAACATTGTTTAAAACCAAGTTTTATACTCGACAATTTCCAAGACATACATGTATTTTCAAAGAAAAAAAGTCATGATAATAACTAGTTTTGCACCTCGACATAAGTACTAGTAATGCAAAGTACTACTTACCTATTTTGTTCTTGTCCATCAGAGGTTGTTTAACCCACTGTGCCACCAATCTCTGTCCTTGAGCTGTCTTGCACTTATTCAAAAGACCAATCAAACACATACTCTTGTTCCCTCCTTAAATATCAGACGAGAATTGCAGTATAAGTTTGGGGGCTACAGTACACACATGAGGTGTATTACACTGTTTATGACAAGTCTTAAGTTAGATTAATTTGCAAGTTTGCCCTTGAGTTTTTGTGTCCATATGTTAGTCCCAATGTTTTGAAGAAAAGAGCATTATTGTTTAAGTGGGTGGCTGATTTCACCATCTTTATCTTGAGAGTCAGATGACTAGCAAGCAGAGTAACCGGTGCAAATGAAGAAGTAGATGACGATTTTCAATGGCAACAAGCTAATTTTGACAACCCAGCATCCATTAAAACACCTATGGCATAGACAATTCTTGAGTCAGGATATTCTACCATTCAACCTTTAAAATTTATTTGATAATTAATCAGACCTGCTGCCACTTCTTTGTTTTACTTTATAGCACATTATCCAAGAGTTACCATCTAAAGGGTTGGGAAGAAGATTAAGAGCCCTGACAGCTGCAGCATCAAGCTTCATAAATTGTGTAAGGTCAAATGTACTCAGATGAAACTGGCCAAAGTTTGACTCATCTGCAAGAAACTGTGATAAAGAGATACTTTAAATTGCAGTTTAAAAGTTACGACAAATTACTAATTCTGACATTGCTTCTAAGTCCTAGCAGTTTTGTAGTACTGGATGGATGTCACATTTGAACCTGATCCAGCTTGCTGCAATTCTCCTGTAGCTCAGTTTAAATATGTTCAGTAGAACCTCCACTGATGGACACCTCCTGTAGGCGGACGCCTCCTGTAGGCGGACGCCTCCTGTAGGCGGACGCCTCCTGTAGGCGGACGCCTCCTGTAGGCGGACGCCTCCTGTAGGTGGACACCTCCCATAAGTGGATGCCTCTCTTAGTAATGCTCTCAGCCACATACAAACATTGCACATACAAACAGCCACCATAACAAAGTACCTCCAAGTATTTAATTAAGGCTGCTAGGGCAGATGTAGCTTGTGTCAAGTCCATCTCAGCTATCAAAAGTAAAGAAATGCTGTGTTAGTAAGATATAGTACTCACATTAATAATTGTTTCATCTCATTAATTAATATTAATTGAAACAAATTCTAATAGCAATATGAAATTCTGTGGTACAATTATCATCTCAGTTGAATTTTTTTTCTCATCATTAGTTTATTTAGGAGTTGGTATCACTATAAGGAGTTTTTACAAGAATACGAATAACAGATCTGCCTAAAATGACAGCAAAGGAAAAGAAATAACTACATGTAAGGTCATTTCGAAACTTCAGTTAGTAATGTTTTATATGAAATATAAGAGAAAATAAATATGGTTCCAATACCTAGTGTTGCACTGTTTCCAGCTGTGCCCAGCTTCAAAAGCCTGTTCAGATCTTGAACCACATCTTTGTTGGAAAACTCAGCTAGATGAAAATAAAACAAGCATCACAAGAAATGTTCTATACATTTTATTCCACTGACCTTTGACAGATTAAACTGCTTGCTGTTTCCAACATGGTTTCCAAGTGAAATTAATGTCATATTAATTTATGGAAATAACATGTCAGACTCCTGTACAAAGACTATTGCATTATGTTTACACCTCAGCCAAAGTGGCAGAAAAATGCAAATGGGTAATTAATATTATTTGCTGTTAAGTAGGCATATAAACCAGCTATAATTAGGCTATAAATATTAGCATGTATATTATCATGTGCATGCCATTTGCATCAATTCAGCAATTTACCTTTCTTCCTGTCAGTTATCAGAATATTGCTTCGCCGAATCACTTCCTGCATTTTTGCTGCATCAGCACTTGTGTCATGTTGTGGCAGTAAACATTCCTTTGGACCAAGTTGGACCAGCAAAGCCTGGAAAAAATCTCATCATTATCCACACACTCAGGAACAGATTTATCAGAGATATTTTTCCATATCAGGGTGCAAAGAAAAAACAATTTTATTTTCAGGCTGTAACTATCATGTAATCTAGCACAAATGTCACTCTAAGACTTAACAGTTATTAAACATTTGAATTGCATGCACCTCTAGATTAGAAAACTGATCATTATCTACAAATTCGCAGACTCCAAGCTTTCTTGCTGCAGCATCTGCATATGAGGCACCCACAATCTAAAGAAAAAAAAATCTTAAAGTTAATTATTAATTAAATAATTTTTGGTATGCTTGAGATCCAATTATATTTAGTGACCGCTGTATAGAGGTGGCCACTGACTAGTTGTAAGTTTTTTAAAACACACGAACATAGAAGTTCAAATAGAGGTTTAATCTTTCAGTTACATTTCTATGTAACACCAATTGCATGTTGGGCTACATGTTTTAAATCTAGTCATTTGCAAACTAACTACCTCCAATTTGCATGATGTTAATTAAATTGCATGTAAAAAGTTATAATTAATTATCATTCAACTTTCATACACTGTATGAATTCCAATTTTCTGATTGGCTGATTTGTACCACGTGATACTGGGTTGTGACGAAACAACCACCTTAATGTCATTATCGTGGTGTAACAGCCGTGGTGTAAATTCAACACACCACTTTCATTACACCATGGCTTTGGCTGACTCAAATATAGTGGTTTCAATGCAGTGTTTCTTTGTTTAGTGTATTCAATTTGAATAATAAAAATGTTAACACAATCTTTGCTCATGAATTATCGGAATTTATCTGTACTTGTTCAGTAACAATGAACGAGAATTTTCAATACTGCACGAGGCCTTGCCGAATGCAGTATTGAAAATTTCGAGTTTGTTGTTTGTGAACTTGTGCAGGTAAATCCCAATAATTCACTCACTGAGTGCATTAACCTTTAAATAATTAACACTTTATTAAGAAACTGAATAATGTACCCTTTGGCCATTCTCTGTACCAAGCTTGATTGCCATGACAACTGCAGACACAGACATGTCATTGTTTCCAAAGAGGATATCTTCAAACTGTTGCAAATTTCCAGGAGATGCCTAAAAGGAATTAATTTATTACAGTCAAAGAACATTGTTTAGTGAAAAGTTTCCAGTATCAATTTTGAAAATTATTTGTGGCAACTTTTAGAGTGGTTTTCGTTGAGTGTCAAAAGTAATTAGACAATTACTTTGGTTTTGGTTTTGGTTTTGGTTTTACTACAGTTTGAGATTAGCTGAGAAGTCTAATTGGTAAGTAATTGGTTTTGGTTTTGGTTTTACGACACTCAATTGAAAACCGCTCTAATATCTATCAAGCACAAACAGCAAAGCTTTACACATTTTTTTTATATTTAGTCTACGTCAGTCCAAGTGGTCAAAACTGCCAGAGCTCATACTGGTTTCTGTAACATTAAGTGACTAGGAGTATTTCTACTCCCCCCTGGATGGGATGCTTGTCCATCACAGTGTTACCTCCTAGCATTAAATTTGCTGGGAACCGATTATACCCATGAGCATAGAGAGGCACTGATGAGAGTAAAGCATCTTGCCCAAGAACACAATACCTCCAACCCAGCCACAGCTTGACTTTGGGATGCTAGATCTTGTGCACTATGGTTCCCACCATTGCATTAGCACTATGCAAGTCATTTGTTATTAATTCATTCCGTTTTATCTCGTTCATCATGTACCTTGGCAACTAGTTCCCATGCTGACGTATTCTTTCCTCCTTTACTTGCACGGTACATTTCCACTCTGTACTGACGTACCAACAGCAGGTCGCGCACTGTGCTCTCAAAATTCATTTTGCTTAAAATGACTGATGGAACCTTCTTCTCTCCTGAAAAGCAAGGACAATCATAATAGCAATTGTATTATTACTATAAAATTGTAAAACAATAATGATGTAAGGTTTTTCAAGTTACAGTTAACAATACTTCATGGACAATAGTTCGTAATTAAAGGGACATGAATGCTACATATTAATCATATCAGGTTCCTCAGTCTACATGTACGAAGACAACCTTTTTAGCCATATTTGGCCCCTTAATTTTAATTTATTTGGCAATTTTGCAGAGCACTGTTTTTTGTTAGTCCCTCCAGCAGACTATGATAGGAAAAAAACACTGACACTCAAAACAATTATATTTGCATTCTGCCAGTTGGCTTATGACACACATGAATGATTTTGTTATGCAACAGTCTTCCTTAAAAAGGTTCTTATAGAAATGACCATTCAACTTCATAGTGTCTGCACAAAGTCTTCAAGATCATGTGGGAAAAAAGAATGAATCTAAAGGTATATTCCTTTGGGGTGATCTGGGGTGATCTGATTCAAGATCACTGAGATCATGGTGCATCACCTGAGCCGATGAATCCATGATGCAAGTGATCTTAGATCATTGGTCCTGATCCAAACCACCCCAAAGGAATGCACCCTAAACCAGTGACATACAATGTGACGGGTTTGTCTATTGCCTGAAAGTATACATGTTGACAGCACATCTCTCACTGTCAGGCAGTAAGTGGGAAGTGGACTAATCCAAAAGATTGAGTACTGTATTTCCCTGCCATCATTTACCTCAGAAAACATACCTGCCCCAAGATATTTAATGACACTTGCAGTCTTAAAGACTTCTTTAGCAGCAAATGATGCATCAGGACCATGAACAGTGTAATAATCCTACAAAGCATGACAAGAGGAAGATAGAAAACTGAGCCATTTTGGTAAAATTGTGGGATTTATTTTCTAAATAAACAGAAGGTCATGCAATCCACGTGATCCTCACAGTTTGGGTATTCCGAGTAAGAACACCCTATAGCACAGTGCGGATGGTAATGGAAGGTCAGGACATAATTTTGTGTTTTAGAGTAAATTAAGAGGGTGGGGATTTCAGCTGAGTGGAATTTTTGAGAGAGAGGCTATTGGAGGGGGGCGGGAGGGGTTGGAGGAGTTGGAAACCATCACAGATACATTGATTAAGAATTCTTTATGCAGTAGTCAACATAAATAGATTTCACCCCCTTACCTTTTGTCAAATTCTTAGTATCCTGCCAATTTTGGGTTTGGTAAGGCAGGGAGAAGATTTATTTTGACTGGTAGATTTAAGGAAACTCGGACTCACAAGAATTTTGACAGTTCACAAACCATTAACAGTTTTTGATGGGAGTGACAATCACAGAAAAGGTAACACACCACCTCAATTAAGCCCTAGCCTATACTTTCGATTAACTCAAAGTCTGAGACTGTTCATTTGGTGACATTTTTTATCCCTAAATAGCTTGTAAATTTGTTTGTTTATTCATTGTTTATTAGTGTACATATTCAGTTAAGTTCATATTTTAACATACAGATTTATTAATCAATTTCTTCTATTTACTTTCCACAACCTCCCCCCAACCGTAAATCCTCTAATTAGCACCCCTCCTCNTTAACATACAGATTTATTAATCAATTTCTTCTATTTACTTTCCACAACCTCCCCCCCAACCGTAAATCCTCTAATTAGCACCCCTCCTCGAATAAGCACTCCCTTCGAATAAACGCCCCTCCTATAGGCCAAAAATTTAAAGTAAGTGCCCCCCCTCAAATAAGCGCCCCCTCCCCTCCCCCTATTTTGTAGACGAGTAATGAGTGATTTAAACTTTAGGATCAGCGTTTTATGTTGTTTGCGTCCACAAGATGTATTAAAAAAACTTATCATGTCAGGGCACGATTTGGGAAAAATTAAATAAGTGTCCCTCCCCCCCAACCTCGATTAATCACCCCCCTCGAACAAGCGCCCCGTGTCCTCTCCTAAATTTGAAATAAGCGCCCCGGGTGCTAATTCGAGGATTTGCGGTAACTCCTGGGGGTTCAGCGTTGTTTGCTCTTTTGACTAATTCGATCTAGATCTCAGCAGGTTTGGAGCGATTTTACAATGCCGGGCCACTTATTAACATATCCCTCAACGCTTCTCAGAACGAAACATATAGAAACAAAAGGAAACATTCAAATTGAGATATGTAAATGAGTGACCCGGTATTCTACAATCTCGCGGATAGCTGCATAGAACCAGGTACCGTCATTACTCACCGAGCGATCAAAAACGCGGAAGGTTGTCTCTGGTTTCTAAAGGTAAGGAAGAAAAACGAGATCAGACATTCTTCTCTAAAGCTTTATGATAAGCTTACAGCGATATCACAAAGGCCAAGCTCACCTCAGGTAATGATCGATAAAATGCAAGGAAGCCTTGTTCTGCCGCTCCATCTGCAGACGTACAAAATAAAATTTATTTATGCTGTCGTGAAAATGGAATCAAATTTATTAAATCGATATCATCACCTAGAGAAAACTGTTGACAAGGTTGGACAGCCATGATTTCCGACGGAGTGGATGAAGTGTTCTTCTTGTCTCTTCCAGAAAATGGCGGACGACCGAAATAGACACACGTGAGTAACAAATTTGGCGGGCATCCGGGAACTCGTAATCCGACGTGTCTTTTCGTTAGATTCCGTCATGAGTTCGGAATCCGAATAAACTCGGTAAGGCCTGGGTACGGGACAAAATTCAAAATGTCGGCGGAAGAGGACACGGAGTTGAGAGATATGGTGGCTCAAACTTTAGAAAGTAAAGGTGTTCTCGGAAAAATCAGGGTAGGGAAACGTGCAATTTGAATCAAGTGTTTACGTTATCTCAAAATTTTGATAATTGGAGTACCTTTTAACTCGATTTGTCAGACCATTTTATTTCGTAAGTATGGTGAGAACACCCCACGGCAACTAACAATGACGAATTTTTGTTTCAGTTTGTAAATTTTCTTTGTGGTTTTTCAGCTAATCGATTTTAGTCCTTTTAATTGCTACTGCTTTCCATGCAAAGAAACATGCTCTTCTTCTCGATGCTATTAAAGAAAAAAAACAAACAAACTTACAACTGAAATATAATTCTTGCTACATTTTTTCCCCTACATTTCGCTTTTCGCTTCATCAAGAATTCTACCATTCATTTGGTTCAATTATCACCTCAAAAAAATGTTTAATTTTTTTTTTCGGAAAATCTATAGGTCGTCAGAAGGCCAGTTTTCTCGCAAGGCTTCTGTGGTTTCCGGACGAAACCACAGTTTCGGTCTATGACATTTTTGTTGATAAAAGGCCTTGAAGCAAACAGGGCTTGTAAGTGATTTGGTACAGCAATTTAATGTTATCTGACTTTGAAGTTTCGAGGAATAGTAATATAAACATTCAAAACTAAGGTGTTTTGCTGTTCATGTTTTGAGGACAGTGAATTTGTATATGAGAATCACTTGGGGTTTCCAGCTGTTAGTTAGGTAACCAGTATATGTTCTATATTATGATGTTTCATAGGCACAGCTTAGAGCAAGTGTCTTTCTAGCATTGGAGGAACAAGAAGGATCCGAGGTTTGTTTGATATATATTATGGAAAGTGAAATTGTGCAATTAATTAGTATTCCTGGGATAGCTTATTGACTTTAGCGCATTTGATTCTATATATGCAGCATAATTCATCATAATTTAGGGTGCTTTTCTTTAGGATGATCTGAACTAGGATCAGTGATCCAAGATCACTTTGGATCTTAGTGCATAGATCAAACAAACTGATGAATCCTTGCCTAGCGTGGATTCATTAAATCCTTTGATGTACCATGATCCGAGTGATCTTGGATCATTCCAAAGAAATGCGCCCTTAAATACTATTATGGCTTGATTGATCTCTAGTTGCTCCTGAGCATCAACATATTGGTCATATCAAAGGTGAGTACACTTTGTTGGGACCTAAATTTTGATAGCACTTGCCATTCAGGCAAGTGACTCTCAAAATGCACTTGCCCGGTATAATTTTCATTTGCTCAGAAAGATGCCAACCCTTCCTCAGAAAAATCTCCACACTGGTTCATAAACCATATGTTTTTGACTGACCATTGTGTTTTCTTTCAATGAGAAGTTATGCTAAAACTCAAAGATAACTCTAACAGATTCATTTCTTAGCAAGATGATGAAATCCTCATCTCTTTTTATTATTTGTTTATTTTTATTTATTTTTTTCA